CTTTAAAATATAGCTCCACTAAACTGGAAACAACTAAGGCTAAACTCTATAGTAAAATATGTTAGGTTAAGCACTGAATTTTAGTCAACAAGTGGCATAACTGCTTTCAATAAATGTCATTTGTGTCATGTAAGAGCTTAAAAATCTTAATTCCCTTAAACCAGAGGGGGGGAAAGCAAAAGTATAGCATAGGCAAGTTTTAATTGGTGGTTTGTTGTTCGAGTTTTTAGTGACACCACATACTTCTTACAGTTCCCAAGACACAGGTAATTATTCCTCTTTGTATATTACACAAAACATCTTCAATACATAAATACTGAGCTAGTTCACCAATTGTGTACACTATATTTAACTGTTCCTGAAATCCTTTGGGGATGACATTTGAAAGACAATGTTGTTAGATGTACTGTATTTCCTTACAATGTCACAAATTCTAAATTATCTATTTTTCCAAAATACAGAAGGCTTCAAACACCAAATTTTAAAGGACATTTTGTTATATTATTCATGAAAACACTGACACTATAAATGATGTTCCATAACTTACTAAATAGATGAGAGAAGATATAACATCAGAATGAAATAAAATGAATAAAGCTAAGATTTTTAAGGCTAATTCAATCTTTCTAAAAATCCTATACCATAAAACATTTGCTCATATGAGTTAAGTATTATCTTTTGGAAACAAGTTTAATATAGGCTGTGCTATGCCAGTAACATTCCTTCAGATGTTAAGGTCTCCTATAGCTTAAAAGTGAGAAAGAATTAAAACAGCAGAAAATTTTCAGAGAGGTATTAATATCTAAGTGAGAGATTATGGTTCCTCCTTCAACTGAGGATATAGAGAGATAAAATATAAAGTAACCCACAACAATAAGTAGTATAATAAATATTACAACTTTAAGATTTTTTTAAAAAAAACATGCTACCTATCAGCAACTCTTTATCATACTGAAATCAAAGGTACAGAACAGTGTAAAGATAACTATACTATTAAACTGAACAATATTGGAAGTTATACTACTTGCTTTTCTACTTGACATAATTCTATTTATCTACTAATTTGGGCTTAAAATATATACCAATAAATTTCTAAGATGCTTTGAATCTAAGATCAAAGAGTATCAACTATAACTTTTAAAAGCTATTACAAAAGTATTCATGTTGTACTGCTGATATCATAATACCCTTCCTTCAACAAGGTAAACAAGTGATCTATTTTAACCTGCTTTAACTCCTCTGATTTCCAAAGAAAAAAAGATCATTCTTACACCATTCCAATTTTAAAGGTTAAATTGGCCACTGAATTTTCCCCATGTCAAAATTAAGGCACTCTGGGATATTTCCTTTACTAAAAGAAAAATTCATTTACATTCAGCTTTTTCATGATTTTTTAAAAAATGTAACATGCAAATGATTTATGTTTTTTTTTAAAGCATCATCTAAGTTGGACAGTGATACAATTAAAATATAATAAATCTAGATATAATATGTTCAAATTTTAACATAAGGATCATGAAAGAAAACAATATATAGTAATTGTGATTCACTTTTAAGTGCAAATATGAAAACTGTATAAATTACAGATAAATATATGCCAAGATTATAGTGAAAGATTCCTGTTTGATATAATGACTATCTCCAGTGTCATACAATAGAATAAAAAAATAGGTACACAATGAAGTCTTCTAAAATCTAAGGCATATGGAAATATTTATTTTATACATCCTCTACTTCTCTAAACTAGTAAGTTTTTCCAATTACCTACCCGAACCATTCATTAAATATTTTAACAGATAAAATCAATCTGTTTATTAATAAAACTAAACACACCTTCAGATGCCAATTAAAAAAAGAGCACTACTACCATTCTGAAAATAAATACAGCCACATAGTCCCCCAAATGAGAAAGCTGTTTTTTACTACATGGCAACACCTTTAAATAACCTAATTATAAAAACTGATATATAAATACATCATATTAGGTTGCTTTAATCAAGAAAAAAAGATATATCCATAAACCACCAGTAATGTTAGTATTCCGTAAAATTTAGATTTTTAAAAATAGATAAATGAATTACACCGCACAACAAGAAGTAAATCTATTTGTAGGTCTTTTTTTTTCTGATTACAGTAATTGAAAAATGGACTTTTCAATCTTCATCATACAATCCCCCAAATTACTGTATTTAATATATGACATGCTGAAATACACAATGTAACATACAGTACTGCAAATTCTAAATTCATATTAATAAATATGTAAAAATGTTTTCTTTATTTCAACCATAAACATAAAAAATTACTGAGAAAAGCAAGGTTGCTTAAGACATTTTAAAGATATAACCTGAGCAAAAATAAGAAAAACAAATACGATAAATATCAGAAGATTATATTGGCTATACTGAAAACAATGCACATATCATTTGCATTGAAATTTATTAAAGCATCCCCAAAGTGTGTCTGTATTCTGCATATATATCCTGAGGAAAGTTTTTGTCAAATATAGTAGTATTTTATCTAAACCTTTTGAATACAGTTACATTCTGTTTCAAAACTTAGGTAATTTGAGAAAATCCATTAGGTTACAACTAAAGTACACTTTCACGGAATACACTATCTTACCAAATGAGACACCAGAAAATGTTCATGGATTAAACATCAGGCATATTCATTCCAGTAGAATAAAGAGTCATAAATACATATTGAAACACACAAAAATGGACTTCTGAATTATTGCATAATCCTGCAAGAAAGTCTTAATAACTTCCCAATATAAAGAAAAGCTTTAAAATTTAGTTCATCTGAGATGAGCAAAGTAAGTATGCCTTAAGTATATCTGTATATCGAAGTAAAAGAAGTGGAAAGGCACTGAGAGGTTGTTATTGTGAGGAATACCAGGATCTTAATTCCACAGGCTTGTGGTCAAGTGTGAACAGGAAAAGTATTACCATTAAAGTCTATCAGAAGAAGAGAGATACATCTGTAATAACCTAGTTAAATTTTTATTAAAACACAAAGTGCTCAGAATTAAAGCTTCTTATAAATTACAAGGCTTTATCTCTCCTTGAAATTGATTCTATAGTGTATGATTGGTTTCCACCTGTTACAGGCAGAGTATAAGCTTTCTTGTATCCAGACATTTCAACTCACATTTGATCAGGTTACGTCACTGCACACACAAAATTTTACCCAACACATTTTAGTTTTCTTTCTTTTTTTTTTAACGGATATTCTTTTTTCTATAGGGAAAACATGACTCGGAACTATAAATAAAATAACCAATTTCAATGTAATAAGAAAAAAACGCACCGCTAAGTGGACTAAGAACAAAAGATACAATTCTTGGTGGACCCTTTCTAAACCACTGAAAATAAACTGTATTCAAATGAAAAGGCATTTAATTTACTATTTGGAATATCCTTGATAAACACCAATTTTCTAAAACATCCCTGAACATCTGATACCGCCTCATGTATAATGCAAAAAAGCTATTTCATTTTCACCTACTGAAAGTGAATTTAATTTACCATTGCAGTCTTTTCCTAGAACTACCACGTTATTAATTCTGCAATCAAGCTCTTTTGGGTGCTTTTATTTATATTTAGTTTCACAATTCCAAACTAAATTTTTCCATCATGATATATCTTTCTTTTAAATATACAAATGTAAATATATTAGCAAACTTTCTTAATGCATAGGGAAAGTTTCAGAGACACAGAAAGCCACCTACCAAACTACACTCACAGGAAACAAACTTTCGAAGGACATCGTATCTAATAGATTACATTTTAGTTTAATAAATTTAATGTTCACCAAATATAACTACACTTAACTTATATAACAAATAACAGTTTCAACCATTCTAAGACCTTCTTAACCAGCATCATGGTCCATTTTCTACCAGCAAGTGATTGGCTATGAAAAAGAAATCCTCCAAATGTTCTGCTTACATTCATGACAGATGTCTCTGCTGTATTAGAGAACTCTTACTGAATTAGATCACTGAAAGGAAATCACCTTTTCTTTGCCACCAGGAAAAAAAATTAGCAGTATCGGTTCCCCTCAGCACTGAATAAAAAATTTTTGACCATAAAGATAGAATAGCCCCCAAAATGGCAGAAGTTATATCTAAGTAAAAGCAAATCAATTACTGTTTTATCTAGGAGATACTCTAGTTAATTATGGAGTTTTTCCAATTAAACTTAAAATCCAGATATTGAGAAGCAAAATGATTTTTAAAAAGATGAACATGCATAACTGTATAATACCTGAAATTTAAAAAGCACACTGAAAAGTACAAAAGAATTATACCACCTACGAAACTTGCCATATTCTAATGGGTTACAGTACCAAGCAAACTGTTAACATATTTTAATCAAATACAGCTCTTAAGTAACAAAATTTTGAAGCATTAGTTTACTTCTTACATAATATATTTTCTTGTGACAATTATATTAAAAACACAATATTTTAAAAATCCGAAGAGGCAGCACTTGTCCTCTTTACTTCACTCCAGGGCCAACAAACAAAGCAATGAAGCAGAAAGAGGTACATAATGGATTTAGAAGTAAATGGTCCATTCTTTAAAAAGGCTTCCTACCCCCTCTCCTGAATTCACTCTAGACTAATTGTCATTACAATGATGTCTGAAAACTTCAGAAGAAGCCTATTTCCTGATGCCAGCTGTCAATGTTTCTATCTTTAAATTTCAGAGTTTGCTGTATTTTTCCCCCCAATAAGAAAGTATTTAGAAATATCTAGGAGATTCGTCTCACAATTGGCCTATATCACAGACACTATGTCTATAGAAAAAAAGACATAATCAACAATGGAAATAGTCTTTAAGAATTTCCACAAACATTCTAATACAGTAAATACATAAATAAAATAAAGTCTACACTATGAAGAATGTCTTTCAATACAGCATACAGCACACAAAGAGCTTCTCTTTCTTTCCTTGGGGACTTATCAAAAAATCTCTTCACCATTGCACCTACCTGGGTAAAAATCTTTGGACTTAGACAGCTTGATGGTGGCTCCAGTTTCTTTTTGCAACTGAACAATTGTCTGTCCTCCCTTCCCAATTATAGATCCAGCAGCATAGCTAGGTATGAGAACCTTTAGAAAATACTGGCCGTCTTCTGAAAAAGGCAAAGAAATATACTTTGTTAACATGATAATTTAAACTTTGCATCCCCTCTCCACCCTCAAGAGAGAAAAACAGCAATTAGAACCGTAGGCATATAGCTGAAGGAAACAGGGGGTTAAATTTTTTTAAAGAACAAAAATGAAACAATTATACTGAAAACTAAATATGTACAAATGTTTCCCATTTTGTAAGATTTATATTTTCAAACTTGGATTTAAAATCTAAACATGTTCTATTATTTCGCAGCACTGTAGAAACTGATGACTAAATTCCAGTTGTTATTCCAAACATGGAAGTCTTCCAATTCTATCTGGTTACTATGGTAAAACAAAATGAACTGACCCTTTAACAAAACTTCAAGAGATTTATAAAATGACAAACCTTCTCCTAACATACTGCAAAACAAATAAATGCACTGCAAATGGTGATGAACTATATTTGTTTGACATTAGCAAACACTTAAGGACTACAATTAGCCATTACAAATACCCTACTTAAAGTATGCAAAACAACCACTTTCCTCCCAAATAATCCACCCAAACTGTAGGGTGTATTCCAAGCCTTCAATAACTGCCAGCAAAGAACTCAAAGTGATTGGAACTGGCAAATCAAACTAATCCCGGGGTATTTCTTTAGCACTTCTTAGTCTACCATGATCTCCTTTAAGCTCATTAATTAAAAGACCTTAAGAATTCTGCCAGTGCTAAAAAGCTTAGGAGTCATTTATATCAAACACACTTAAAAATGACTGAACAGATAATGTTCCTTCTCCAAAATAACTACAACATTTAAAACGGAAAGGGGATAAGATGAACCAACAAGAAAGGATGAAATGAAATGTTTTAAAAATCAGAGCCAACTCCATAAACTTTAATTTCCGCAAAACTGATCATGTCTTAAAGAGGAAACACCCCGGAAAATCCAGCTTCCTTCGGTGAATGAAGGTTCCAAATTTTGCGGGTGTGTGCCATTCGCAAGCCCCCCATCCGTCTCTAATGCACATGCTGTAGATAAATTCACCTCTGCCGCGATGCATTGGGTGCATTGTTAAGATGACTCCCGTGCAAATGAAGAAGCGATACCGGTCCCGTTATAACTCATCTTCCCAGGAAGCGCAGGATGTTAACTAACAAGTCACAGTACCAGGCACCCCCACCCTCCTATGCACACCGGGACAGACAAATCAATGAGAAATTTGCACCGACAATGTAAGTGCGGCAGGAGCGTGCACGCCCAGAGATCTCGCATACTACTTGTGGCCCAACGCAAGGGGATGGAGAGGAGGAAAACTCTCAGGTGCCCCAACCGTTGGCTCTCCGCTCCCCAAGTGCCATTTATTTATTTATTTTATCACACTGTTCAATGCAGCGCGCATCTTCGGGCGGCCGTCACCTCGCTCGGGGGGTCACCCTCCTCCTCCTCCTCCTGGACGGACCCCTTCGCCCAGGTCTAGGATCTTTCAATGGTCAGCTTTTCGACCGATTAAATGGAAAGATAGGTCTATTCCGAAAAATCGGTCGCCATTTTGATGAATGATAAACACAGACATGGAAATGTGTCCGGACGGCGAGGTGCGGGGCAGGTGCAGGGGAGGGGGCGCGGGGCAGGGGCGC